TATTTATTCTGTTAATTGATTCATGCATTGCCTCTGACTTCACACAAGTGTGCAAAATTTCAGATCAATTAGACAGGTAAAAGTTTGTCAAATATTAGTTATAAGATTTGTAGCTGACAAAATTATTTTTTGAGTTTTTTAATGTTAAAAAAAATAATTTTTAAAATCATTTATTTGACATTTGGTTCATGCATTGTCTCCAATTTTACACAAGTGTGCAAAATTTCAGATCGATAGGATAAGTAGAAGTGTGTTAAATTTCGATTACAAGATTTGTAGCAGACAGACAATTCAGACAAGAAGTGAAGTTAAAGAGAAGTGTTGTAATAATAATAATACAATAAACTAATTTTTCTATTTCTTTTAATACATATTGATTACAGCCAAAAATACCGAACATTTCCGAGGCAGGGGCATTTGAATTACTTTTTTAATTCTAGGAACAGCCCTTAACTAATTTATTGTAAATGCATTGCAGCTAATAGGTTAAATTGAAATACACATACCTACGGTAACGTGATCGGAAATTGGAAAGTTAGACTTTGAATTGCAAAAATGGAAATCTCGATCAGTTGCCTGGCCATTGATGTAGCTAAAAAAAAAATAAATCAAATACTTTACTTCTGAATATTCCGTTAAAAATGTTCAGCTCGTGTATTTCATTCAGAGCTCATAAATACGACTAGTTTAAATTTTTCCTGTTGTAAATGATGAAGATATCGATTGATGATGCATAGCTTTTGAAATAGCCGTTATCGCCACTTTATGGCATGCGCTCTTCACACGTACGCCCGCAGTGAAGATGCGTTCGTCAGTCGTACAGAAACGCGAACATGAACAAGTCTTGCGCTTCTTGCTTTGGTGTAAATGTGCTAATGTGCTAGTCGAAGTAAACAAGAATGTGTTCCTAAGCTTTATTGTGCTTTTCATTTGCACTGAAAGAAAATTAATTGCATATTAGCACTTTTTTAATGGTTAGGAAATCAATTTGAGTTTATTTTAATTTTCGTAGGGCAGTGAAAATAGTGTTTGAGCATTTATCAGTCAGCCTAAATTAAGTAAATCTGTTGAATTGCATGCGATGGGAAAAAAGGTCTACGACACCGGGGAGCATGCGGGCAATACAGTAAGCCTTCAATAAGCTTAACGTATGAAAGATCAAAAATATTTGGTGAAAATAAGATTAAAGTTATCTAATATCAATGTTCATTTGTTCAATATTATTAATCTACTTTTCTCGGGAATTGCATCCAACTGATAATATTAAGTATATCCTAAATCCAACCTGCTACAAATTACGAAGTTATATCTCTCCGATATCTTTGACTTATCGATCGTGAACGTGAAAAATAAACGATGTAACTAATTGAATTTACTTATTGATACCATTTTTGCACCCTTTTCAGAATAGAGGATCATATGCCCAAAAGGTTTTCGATTCCACAAAGGTTCGTACAAGCAATTATTAATCCATTTCCACATTAGACACGTTAATAAGAAATTGTTTAAGCAACCTTATGTCCACTAAAAACTAGATCGTTTGTTTCAGTAACATAATACGTATTAGAGATCTATGAAAGTGTAAATATCGGTGAAATAAATAATACTTGAATGAGGCTCATCGACTTTATGACTCACACCTGATATGCCGTCATTTATGGTGTTTGTTTTTTATGTGTCATATTTAATGTGTTTGTTTTTTTTTTATTTATGAACAAATGTCATACTTATCATCTTCTTTTCGCTATACCTCATGTCCATAACCACTGAGTTTTCGAAAAGTTTCAGATTGTTTATTTTAATGAGTGAAAATTGAAATTCTAAAATTATATTAATTATAAATTAATAAAAAAAGTATATTATATTATGAAAATTATATGAATAAAAAATTTATTCATATAATTATTATATGAATAAAATTATATGAATAAAATTAATTATGTTATCAAATCNTTAAATGGTAAAGCGGTGGCAATCCGATTAGTATTACTTTTTGCATTGCTATTGTACAAATATCAAAATACCTGATTCTTATTTATATATCTGCAAAATTACCTTTCAAAAATAATGAAAAACTGAATTATTGAAGAACAATTGAAAGATTAAAGACTTACTCAATCCATAGAGTGTCAGTACCGTGAGCAAGAGGCATACGTCCTCTTCGTATGGGCCAGCGGCGAATGACAAGAAGAAGGTAAATTCACAACACAAATTTTTTGGAATATTTTGTTGTTATTTTTATTATTATTTTTTTTGTATGCACGCATGGACACTTTGTTATTTTCAGAGAGTTCTTAGAAAGGAAAAAACAATTTTTAAATAGCGTTGAAATTAAATATATGTATGTGAGCGACGTTCAGTTATCGTGAGTTTGAGGAACATTCTTGCCATAATAGCTACAATTCTTAGCGGCAGTAAATCTTAATTATTGCACTATTTGCGTATTTAAATAATATTTGAGGTTTTTCAGGGAATAGTTGTTCGTATTGTTTTCGTATTTTATCAATACTTTTTTTCAATCAAGCAGAAAATTAATTTCATTTATGAATAATTTCATCTCTATAGGTAATTGGACAGAATATTTCAGCCAACGTTCTTCGGTGGTAATGTAACGTTGTGTATTTAAGGACTAAACTTGTGCTTAGTAGGTTGTGCCTAATGTAAATGATCTCTTAACTAAACACTGCTTCTTCAGGAAACTCAGAGACCTTCAGACGCCAGTTACGCCTCCAGCTGGAGAGACGCGGAGGTACGTTAAAGCTATACCAATAACCTCAATCCTGCAATCATTTGAGTCGGAAGAGTCAAGATTGGTTCAGTCAGTGATTCAGTTGAAAAAAAATTAAATAAAAAAATGCGTTGTCGAATCATAAGTTAGCATTATAGCTTTCCTATATACAGTATGTTATTTGAATAATGATTAAAAATGGTTTTAATTAGACTCTTATGCTTGTAGAATGCTTAAATTTGTTATCCACGATTAAAAATTAAATTAATCCACCCTAAAATATAATTAAAAGATTCAATCAATGAATTATTTAATAAATGCTCAATTTTTAGAATAATTCTAGTAAAATAATCAAAATTTGCAAATCAACAGAACGCTGACGGGAAGTCTTCCCCACCAGAGGAAGATGGGGAACATAGAGAACAGTGGGGGAACCCCATCGAGTTCCTGCTGTCGTGCATCTCCATGTCGGTGGGGCTGGGG